CCGTGATCTCCCACGGAAGCGGGGCCCGTCGCTAATCCACGCCCCCTTGATCCGTGTCTGCGATCGCCTGATGGAGGCAGGCCGAGCTGCCCAAGCATAGACCCTCGGCGGAGAAACCAAAAGGTACCGATACCACTAACCTCTCCTGGGGTGCGGTGCGTTCTGACCATGGACTTCGACGCGAATCCAGCGGTGGCGACGACGGCTCCCGAGGAGGCCCAAAAAGACAGAAAACGAGGAGAGGGTAACCTCAAAGGGTCTTTATAAACCCCCGGGCAATAATGGGAATAAGGAACGGAGGGGAAGGAGGAGGGAGGACGGAGGGGAAAGAGGAGGGAGGGGAAGGAGGAGGAGTAGAGCCGAGTTTCTATATTCCCCGCCGAGAGCTCAGGAGGGGGGGGGCATTATTCAAGACCCTCTGCGGTCAGAAGTATGGGTACCTTTTCCTCCTCCGACTCGGAGCTCCGCCCGGACTCCTCGCTTCACGGCCCGCGCCCCGCGCTGCGCGAGACACGCGGAAAGTGCGGACGGGCTCGCCCTCTCGCGCCGACGCCCGCCCGCCCACCCCGTGAAAGGCCCCGGCCGCCGCCCGCGGGCCCAGACCGCGCACGCCGCGAGCCGCGGCTTTCACTTCGCGCCCTCGTGGGGGCCCTGCTCCTCCACCTCCTCCTCCCCCTCCTCCCCCTCCTCCTCCTCCTCCTCCTCCTCCTCCTCCTCCTCCTCCTCCTCCTCCTCCTAGTCCTCCTCCTCATCTTCCTCCCTCCTCCCCCTCCTCCCCTCCTCCTCCTCCTCCTCCCCTCCCCTCCCTCCTCCCTCCCTCCTCCTCCTCCTCCTCTCCTCCTCCTCCTCCTCCTCCTCCTCCTCCTCCTCCTCCTCCTCCTCCTCCCCCTCCTCCTCCTCCTCCCCCTCGTCGCGGTGTCGCCCACGGCAGGATCGTGCCAAGGGCACCGCATGCGGCCCCGTACCCCCCGCGATTTCTCGGGAGGAGTGAGGGTTTCACTTCGCTCGGGAGCTCGCGAGCGAAGTGAGCCCCACCCACCCCCGCAGAACTCGTGGGGGGTATGGCATGGGGTATGGGTAGGGTTCGCATGTGGCCCCCCAAGCAGGGGGGGGTTCTGGCGCCGACGGCGGGTGGAGCGTGCCAGGGGGACCGCATGTGACCCATACCCCTGGTCGGCAATCCAAGAGGGAGTTCAATACTAATGGTCGACCCCTGCGCTACGGAAAGAACATGGAAAAGGATTCAGAGAAAACACTTGCTTCATATTGAGCGGTTGTCTACAGTCCAAAACATGAACGCATTCAGTCGCTTCGATCCCCTCTCGCTCCATATTCGAATGTGGGTTTCACTTCGTTCGGGAGCTCACGAGCGATTGAAGCCCCACCCTCCCCCGCAGAAATCGTGGGGGGGATGGGTAGGGTTCGCATGTGGCCCCCTAAAGAGGAGGGGGGAGTTCTGGCGCCGATGCGGGGAAATCAGAAAGGATATACCGATGCCGCGACTTCCCCTCCCGGGGTGCGTCCTGACCAGGATGTCGAGGCGAGTCCAGCGGTGGCGACGGGGGCCTCCCATGAGGCCTACGAGTGGCGATAACGAGGCAAGTGCAGCGGTATCGGTACCTCCTCCTCCTCTTCTTTGGCGGCGGGCACAAGGTAGAAGGGGGAGGGGGGAACACTTGCTAGAAGTCTGCTTCCAAGAAGCATTCCCCCCTCCCGCTGCTCCCCTCTGCGCGTGGCCGACCGCGGAAACAAGCAAGACGGCAGAAACATCTTATACCAAAGAAAGACCCCAATCTGTGGATGGTTTTCGCTGAGGAGGTCGACTGGGAACCCGGGAACGCAGAACCCACCGAAATCGGCCGGGAACCAATAACCGGGAACCCGGGACCGGGGAACCAAGGAACCCAGCCTGCTACCAAAATCGGCGGGAAACTTTCGCCTAATCTTTCAACTTCCGCTGGGACCCCTTCAGTGCAAGCACTGGTTCGGGAAACACAACAACTGGAAACAGCAGAAAAGGCTCCGCCGCTCAACAACGACGACGACGACTACGACTACCATTGCGACTACGATTCCCGCAGAGAGAACCAGGGGGGGGCAAGAACTGTGAACGATCCACGAAACTCCGCGTGGAACCCCTCCCCCTCATTTTTCCGGACCCTCCGCCCCGACCTCCCGCCCCTTTTTCGATGAGGTCTATGAATAGGATTCATGGAATTGCGCAACAACTTCCCGTGAAACTTCCATGAATTCCCCCGCACTTTCCGCAGAGGTCGAATTGTACGGACCGTGGAGGTGGAGGGACTGAGAAACGCTTGATGGGCCTGTTTTCCACCACCACCATCATAAGTCGGATGGGGGAGCAGGAGGAATGGAATGGAATGGAAAGACCCGAAGGGAAAGTGCACAGCACCAGAATCGAAACGACTGGAATTACTGGCCTGCAGAGGCTTCCGTCAAACGAATCCTCTCGACCAGGGCAGCCACGCGCTGCTTATATGAGGGAGCCCCTGAGGCTGATAACGACCTGGACACCTCAGTCGAGTCAGGGACCGCATCAGACTCCGCGGGGGCCAACATCTCAACCGTGGGGTACCGAGGGGGGAAGACGCTACGACCGAGGAGGGCTCTGACCTTACGGTTCGGTGGCTTCCCCTGGGAATAACGGTTTATAACCTCCTGACCTTTCTTGGTGGGGTGTTGACCAGGCAAAATACACGGCTGAGCAAGCTTTAGGGCTCTACCCGGGGACCAACCACCCCCCACATCTTAAACAAATCCAGCATTGCTTCTCAAGGACCTTGTGATCAGCACCACTCGAAGCTCGAGCCGACAGCCCAGCCGCGACGACGAGATGCCCCTTGGGATCCTTGAGGAGCGGTCTGATGTTGGGGGGGGCCCTTTGCAGCCATTGAGGGGAAGCTCCGTTCTGTCCTCACCCCCAAGACTGAAACACTTCGCACATCGGAGGCCTGCAGGTCCATCGACCCATACATGCCATGCCTGTTGCACTCGATGTGCCCGTCGCCTGCGGCGGTAGACATCGGTGCTCCTATGCCACCGAGGCGTGACCTCAAACAGCGGCAGGACGGCAGCAGCTAGCTTACAGAAGTGGGCAGCACATTCCACGGCCACCTCTAACTCTTGCAAGAAGGATGGGTCGGCAGACGGGTGAGATCGGACGGCCTCTTTCGCATGGTGGTCAACAGTGCGATTGGCCTCTGCATATGCTCGCACATTCTGCTCCAACGAGTCAATCAAATCCTGAGACCGATGCGCCTTGACATGCCGCACCTCCTGGATGAACGCTGTGCCCTCAAGCGTGTGAGCAAATTTCCTTATCCCTGCAAACTTGCTGCGCGCTGATAGCCGATGTGCCCGCTCTTTTTTTTTGCGCGAGCATTATCGCAGCCATGCAATCGACGCCAAACTGAGCTGGTCGATTTGCCACCTGCCGCAAAGCGCCACACCTACATGCTCAGACATTGCAGGTGTCTGAGGAAAACTTCCGTGGACGATCCCACGCATCACGCAGACTGGAACAGGATCGGCCCCGCTCGGTGGGGGCACCGCCATCGCCCATACCGCTCGCTGGAGCGCGCGGAGGGGGGGCTTCGAGCAGGGCCCATCAGACACCATTCTTAAAATAGGCTCGTCCGACAATTCTGCTAGCTGCTCAGGGCCCCATGTCCAGAGGTACACCCGAAACATCAAACAGATCCACCTCAGCTGACGTGGACGGTTTCGGCAGCTCGCTCTCTGGGTACACGCAAATCCCACGGGTGAAGATTTCCCAATCTGGCTCCGCGCGAGCCGCCTCCAGAAACTGACTAGGGACTTCGGACTCTGCTCAGGCCTGCTCTACATCAGGCCTGGAACAAGAATAGAGCCTGTGGTGGAGTGTGTCTACCTGCCCGTACACGCACCGCCCGTCCGTCTCGCCCCCCGCCAAGCGACCCCTCTCAGCAGCCCACGCTCCATTGCGCCCACAGCTCCTGATCAAAAACTTGGCCATCGTGCTCACGCCTCGAGCCTTGGGCCCCAATCTGGACCGTATAAGGTCCAGAGTTGCCCTTTGCCCAGGAGGTGGCCTAGCTTGGCTGCGAGTGCTAACTCGTGGACTCTCTAAATTCCAATCTCTAGCCGATCTGCATGCTGGCGGTGTTTCATCTATCTGCATGGAAATCCCGCTGTGATCTTTCCATTCCAGAGGACCTACAGCCTCCCAGCCTGCCCTAGACAGCACCAGCACTGCGCGGCTCAACGGGCCTCGGGGGGAGCCCCAAGGCCCCTGCTCAAGGGGTCTGGCCGGCTTCCAACGCCTGAGGAGCTCAGCACGGCTGGCTAGCGCTCTATCGGGTTGGGTTGTGGCAAACCACATCATTCTGCACCGCTGCAAGGCTGGCGCCACTGCTAAACGAAAACTGGAGTGTCCTATTAAAACCATTTTCGCAGACAGCGATACTCCTCCGTGCGATGGGGAAGTAGCGCTGCTGTGGAGCCGTTGATGGGTAATCCATTCCCTCTGGCTTAGGCCATTTATCCCAACGCCGAAGCTGCAAGCAGGTGAGACTCCCGACCGACATATCTTAACGAAGGGGGCCTCTTTGCTACAGCCTCTAAAGCCCTTCTTGAACCCTCTAAAATTACGCATTCTACGCCTAGCACTTATAAACCTACGCTGCTGCTTAGGGCGGGCTGCTTTTGCAGATCTCTGGGCTCCCAAACTCTCGTCAAACCCCAGATATGTGACGCTAGTCTTGTATGTGCTGCGAGGCACTCCAAGCTCATCGCATATTGCATGACCCAACCCGACAGACGACGCAATCAGCGACACCTAGTCGAAGTTGAGCACCGCATTCAACTCATCCGACGTCTGCCTGAACTCCCGCATGGACTCAACAATGGTGCCCTTCGCGATGGTGATATCTCTCGAGCTGCTTCCAATGGCACTGTTATCAATGTAGTTCAGGAAGTCAACTGTCGGGCACCGTGTTACGACAGAGTCCAGTTCAAAGACCGCGTGTATCTTGATAGCAATGTCCGCATTGCCACCCCCAGCTGGAAGGCCATGCGTTGCATAATACGCTTCTACTGCATGATGTCGTCCACTCCTGATCATGCGTGGTCCGCACCATGTGTTGATCACTATCTTGAGCCAGCACGTCGGCATGCCAACTCGCAAACACCTGTACTTAAGCTCGCGCAGAGGAATGGACTCGCAGTACTTGGACCAGTCAATCACCCACATCCAAGAGTGCATACCATCAGACCGATCAGCTTCACTTCTTGCCGCCTGTAGCCGCGCGCAATCAATAGCTGATCTTCCTCTTCCTGCTCCCCAAAACTTGCGCTCGAGCGACTCAGCAATGCCACTTATCATCCATCGTCGTGCTCGTTGCCATATCCGATACATACCCGCGTACAAGATGATCCATATGTTGCCGCCCGATGCTTTGGGCAGCATAGGCATCTGTATCCAGCAAAGCTGCTTGGGCAACATCCCGATCGCCTCCGCTGGCTGCCATATCAGAGATAGAACATCCAATCTTCGTCCTCGAGCAGCAGCGCATGGCGCGGGTGGAAGTGATCAAACGACGACGCCGTGCCCTTCGGGAAGGTGTTGACCACTCTCCGAATCTCGGCAGCCGATAGACGAGGGCACGAACTTCTGTCAGGGACCCATGCTTTGGGCGCTGTGTCCGATGCAGCCCAAAGCTTCCTATCGTCTTCCACTTCCTTCTTCGCGACTGCGACAGGACCGCCAGCAACACTGTGTCCATGATTGACCACAACTGGAGTGGGTATCGCCTTTACCTTGGTCACCTTGTGGAGAGCCCTCGCCCCCTTGGCCGATGCTACGATGCGCCATTCAGCCCATTGACGGTCAACTTCTCGTCCAACCGCTTTCTGAGCATGCTCCACATCGTCACATATGCCATCAAGAAACTGTTCCGGGCGACCACGATCCATGGGAATGGCTCCGACCTCGCTTCTGGCTTGAGCCACCGTGCTGTCAAGGCGCCCACTTAATCCTTGGCCGCAGTATTCCATTGCTAAGAAACTGCCTATCTCCCCCGAGCACTCTTCCATATGCGTCGTGCCCAAGTACAACTGCAGGATGGTACCAATCGAGTGCGAAAGCCACTGCCAACCTTCGGCCTCAGCTTTGACCTTGGTATCTTGTTTCTCTGGATAAGTTACATCCACCCATCGAGGCCGAAGATTGCAACCAAAAGCATCTGGCCCACGAAGGTCGGCACCCGTCACATCGGCGATGTCCTTCGCAGCCTGCACAGCAAACTTGGCCCACACTCTGGACATGAATAACCGTGCCACCTCCACGTCACAGTCGTCATAATTAGCAATTTCAGTGCATGCTTGAGCCAACGCCTTGAGTGTAGACCAGTCCGTCGGCTGCTTGCGCGGTCCAATAATCTGATCCACTGGCAGCGTCGGCGTCACCGTGTACACAAAGTGCTGTGCATTCATTCCGTTACCAACAATATTCATCATCACTGGCCTGTGAAGTTTCTTGCTCCACGTCATATCCGCTTCAACTCCACGATGCCCCCTCAGGCGCACATCGTTCACCGCGAAGTAATCTATGACTGTCGATCCCATTCCCCCTCGGCATGCGATCTGTTTCGGGGCCGCCATCGTGACGCTGGCCAGGCGGGGGAACTCTGAAGTCTCCAACTCATCAACTTGCATATCCCAATCGGCCCCTGCAAGACATGGCCCAGTAATCCTGCTGAATATAGAACCCATCTGCGCCAGCAGCGCTGCATTAACCCCCGTGGCCCCGATGGAGTCCTTGAGGCACGCATTCATGACCGATATCTCTGGCCATCCCGGGATATCTAAAAGTGCATGTTGGAGCCGATGAGGTGCCACCTCGCGAGGAAAATCAGGGCGCGCTCGGAGCCCGAAGCCGCTGCGGGCCATGGTCGCAACTCCAGCAGACGCGATTCCTTTCGTGGGGGGCGCCTGGGGGTGCCATCATTTTCCACCCCCTAGCAGAGGTCCATCTGTATAATGCCTCAATTGAATCGCCGTGGTAACCAATCTCTTGCAGCAGCATCAGTGAGCCTTGGATCGAGTGATTTTGTCTTTCAAAGTTAAACGGCCGCCATTGGCATTTAAAGACTCGAACGTGTACAATCCTTGACACTCAGGCTGCTGTACCACTTTCGACTTGCCCAAGGGCAGTGGGAGTCCAGACGCCCGAATGTTCGCAAATTCTGAGTGCGTCTCACCACATTAGGAATAACGCTCCTTCTTGGCCATCTCTCTGAGCTTACCCTGGAACGTAGCGTAGTCATCCTTGGATTCGAAGAGAAGCTTGGTCTCCTCCTCTGAGAGCTCGTCAAAGGCACGCTTGACGGGCTCGTTGTGCTCTCCCTCTCCTTTGCCTGTCTCAGGGGACTGAGGCATTGGAGCATCATCACTGCCGCTAAAAGCAGCACCTGCAGCCTTGACCTTGCCCGCGAGGATTGTCTGCAACTTCTTCCACTGGTCTGGCTGTAAGAAGGCCTGTAACTCGGGATCCTCGGTCTCCTCAGGCTGCACCTCCAGCTTGATTTCCATGTCATTGGCGCCACCACCGTCCGCAGCTGCCGTAGTCGTGCCGTCTGCGATGAGGGCTGCCGTCCGCTTGTACTCTGCATCGAGAGTGTCCATCTTGATCTTCTTTGCCTCCAGCTGTGCCTTGCGCGTCGCCAGAGACTCCTGCAGCTTCGCCAGCTGCTCCGTCTTCTCAGCAATCTCTGCCTCCATCTTGTCACGCGCAGCGCGTGCCTTGTGCAAGCCCTGAGCCGTCCTCCTGTGCGCGATCTCAGGTGTGCGCAGCGCCCGCTGCTGCTCCTTGATGCCCTTGACCTTCTCAATCGTGGCCGCGCGGATGGGATCATCATCCTGACCAGGGGGAGGGTCTTGAGCGCCGTTTCGTACTGCAAGAGCTGTGCGGCCAGCTTCTCACGCTTGACTTTGTCCTCGTCCTCTTGCTTGATCGGTTCCAGGGTGTCCTTGGTGGGCGGCACCGCCTTGCTCCATGGACGTGGTGCCTCTGCAGCTGACTTCGGGGGCGCACCGCTGCTACCCTTGCCGCCGAGGCATAGCTCCCGAAGCATCTTCTCAAGCTCCGCCAGCTTCTTGCTCGTGTCATTATGGTTATGTTTGCTCTGTTTCGCCGACGTCGGAGGTGGCTGGCCGCCTGTGCCATGGATGAGCTTGTTGTGCGCATCCCACGCGGCCTTCCTGATCCGAAGTGGCGCTTCATTCCCACATCCACATACAACTCTCGATGCCCAGTTCGCCGCTGCTGAGCACCTGCCGCATGCCCAGAACGGCCGCCTCGGGCCGCGGAGCACCGCTGGCTGGGGCGGCGCCACCATCGCGGCGCCTGGATCTGCTTCGTGGTTCGTTTTGCTCCCTTTGGAGCAGACTAGTTGGTACGAGCCAAGTTAGCCCGGTGCAGCGGCGCCGTTCTGAAGACAGCTGCACCAAGCCGAAAACACTTGGGCCAGAACGGCTGGGGAGCAGGAGGAGGAGGAGGAGGCGGAGGGGGAGGAGGAAGAGGATGAGGAGGAAGAGGAGGAGCAGGACCCCCTCCCCCTCCAACTTATGGTGGTGGTGCTGGAAAGCAGGCCCATGAACCGTATGCCCTTCTGCTGCTGCTTCTCCCGAGTGCCGGCGGGCGTGGATGCCCGGCGGGGCGCGCGCGGCGCCGTCGGAGGAGCCAGGCCTCACCGTGAGCGATAGAGACGTATCCGCATCCGCGGCCTCGCGGGCCGGGTCCCTGGGCGCGGCGACCCCGCGGATCGCAATCCTTCATGGGACGCGCAGGGACATACGAGTACCGTGTGTCCACCTTGGAGGCGCGCGTCCGACCCGAACATACAGCATGCCCATCTTGTAGCAGATCGTTTCCCCGGCGGTGTGGCCAAAGAGGGGCCCGCACGACGCGTATACTGGAAGACTTCTCGGTGCGCGCATCGCCCCCGGCGGGGCGACGCACACATAATATAAATATGTTGGGGTGACGTCGAGACAAAGCCATGTTTTACCAATTCCGTGTTGCCATTGTCTTGCAGATTCAGGCGCCGTGTTTTTGTTTCCAGTCCCGTGGCGTTTTTTATGTTGCCGTCTCTGGTTTTGTGGTTCCAATTCTGGCGCCATGTGCGGGGCCGTTTCTGGTTGCCGTTTTTGTTACCGTTCCGCTTTCAAGAGACACTTTTCGGAAACTGTGAAAAAAACTACCCTGCCGTTTCTGGGGCCCACTAAGTCCCAGACTGAGACGAGGTCAGGACGAGGACGAAAGGGGGCGAAGATGAATCGAGGACCTCTGAAATCCAGCTGCTCTGGAGGATGTCTCGGGCGCCGCGGCTCTGCGAGCGTTCCAGACGCTCTGGAACTGCATCCTCGTCTTAGCCCCGTCCGACATGACCCCCTCCAATCATGAAAACAAAAATTCGCTGTTCGGCCTCTGGGAGACCTTCCCGGCCTCGGGACTAGTTGAAACATCATTTCTGGGGAGTGGGTCGAGACCTCTGGAGGTCCACGTCATGAAAAAATCATGGCGTTGGGGGCCTGGGATACGGGGCCCTTCTTCACAAATGCTCCGCGCGGAGCGCATTCGTGCCACCGCGCATCCGCGGGACATCGCGCCGCGGAATCCTGGCCGCGAGGTCGCGGGTACGGATATGCTCACCGCTCGTGACCTCCTGGCCCTGGACAAGCCGCCCGGGGCGCGGGAGTCCGGCCGCGACGCCGGGCGCGACGCCGAGCTGCCGTTGCCCCACGCCGGCTTCGGGGAGCGGGCGCATGTCTCCAGCGAGCTGCACGTGCTGCCCTCGCCGTCGTCGGGGTAGAGCTCGGTCAGCTGGCGCTCAGCGATCTCGTCCCCGAGCGCCGACAGGTTGGCGTACCGGTCCACGCTGAGCGTCTCGGCGCCCAGCGGCAGAAAACCCGAGAAAAGGATGTCGATCGGGCTCGGGAT